TTATAACATTTCACATGGGTACAGTGTTGCATGACTGTGCAATTGTCAAAGTGCGACAGTGCTGCAAACTGAAAATTGGACCTTGGCACGGAGGGGGTAAAAGTACCCAGTAGGCAAGTGGTTAAAATCGGGATCTGTCCCTAGTCTGGAAAAGCTAAATGACGTTACAGAACAAACTGCACTCATGTGATCCACAGGAGAAGTGCAGCCAAACGAGCTTTGGCTGCACTTCTCCTTTACGCTTTGGCAGTAAAATCTGGAAGCTGATTGGCTTCTATACAGAGCTGCACTGGATTTTGTACTCTCCACTTTTCGTAACTAACCCTCACTGAGTCATGTTATTGTGGTAAAAAAAAAAAAAAACAAACAAAAAAAAAAAAAAAAAATTATCCTAGAAAGGCTTCCAAGCTTTAGCCCACTCTGGTGGTATTCTGCTGGATGATGCACTGGAGACACCACTATGGCTATACTTGCACATGCTTTACTGAAACCATTGGTGCAGAGCATGCCTCATGCACCATGATGAAATCACGCTTCGGAAAATCACTGGCAAGGAGCAGCATGGTAGAAGTCCTAAACAGCAGGTCTCTGCAGAACCCTTTGAGGTGGGGCACATACTCTCCAAACAGCCACTGAAAGATCAATTTATTCTCTCTGAGCAACATATGAATCACTGCCTTAATTGTCAAAATTTCGATATTCTTTTACAAAGTGTGGAATGTAAGGATTTTTAGTGAAGTGAAAGCACCAATGGCTGGAAATGTTTAGATACAGGCTATATTCTTAGGTAATGATATCTGTCTTTAACAAAGAGAGAAACGTAACATGGATTTAACTACTTCCCGCCCCGACCTATTAAAAAATGATAGCTGTATATGGGATTTTTCCTCCTTCCTGGTGGACGTCATATGAAGTTCTTGCGGAATGTACCTTGCTTGTGGTCGCGTTGCGGGTGTGATCTGTCACTGATGATAGATCACTGTACTGGCCCACTGCCAGTGCTGAATGCTGACATGAGTGGAAGAAGTAAAAGGAAAAATGGAGACACAGGCGCATTTGATTACTAAACTAGAGATGCACGTTGAAGAGATGCAAAGAGAACAGAGAAAGCTCTCATTTAACTTTAATTTAACTCATTTAAATGATTTGTGGTTTACCAGAAGAGTCCCAAGGGGAGAACTTGCAGGAGAAAATAAGGAGAGTGCTTAATCCATTGGTGAGTAGACCCGTAACAGAACATTTGAAAATGGAGAGAGTACATAGGATAAGCTGACAAGGACACAAGTAGAGACAGTAGACTCGCAAAGAGATGTGATTGTTCCATTCCATTACTATGAGGATAGAGAAAGAATATGGAAAAAACTCAGAGAGACCACTGAAATAAAATATGGAGAAATAAAGCTGCAAATATTCGCTGACATTGCATCTGAGACATTAGCTAGAAGAAGATCCTTGAAAACTTTGTTGGAACAGATGAGGGAGAAAAAAGTTCAATACAACTGGGGTTTTCTAGCCGGTCTGATCAGGTGGAAAGATGAGAAATCGGCAAGACTGAGATTCCCAAAAGAATTAAGTGACTTCTGCAAAAAATTAGACTTACAGGAAATGGACATTGTGGGGTGGTCAGTGAGGCCTACAGTGTGGTCAGGGTCGGGAAAAGAAAAGTGGCAGATGGTAAAAAAAAAGAGAAGGTAGACCAGTGTGGGCTGAGGAGGGGGGGAGGGGAGGGGGGGTTGAGGAGGGAGAGGGGTGGGGAGGGGGGAAAGAGGGTGACCCCCCTAGTGTCTATGTCCCAAAAAAGGTTTTTTTTTTTAATCACATGATGCAAATGTTATACTCAAGATATTATACAACCTGGTATTATGCCGATTCACCAGCAAAAAGAGCCAAAGGAGTGGCAATTGGTTCTCAAAACATGTAAGATTCACTCTGGATGAGAGACTGTTAGACCCATAAGGTCGGTTTCTTTTTCTGAGAGGAAAATAACAAGGAATTGACTGCAAGTTAGTGAACATCTATTGCTCAAATAACAAGCCAGTTGTATTTCTGGAGAGTATGTTAAGAAAACCTAACGATTTTAAAAGGGGTAGTCTGATTGTGGCAGGAGACTTTAATTTTTGTTTGGATCCATGGATGGATACGTCATTAAGTGCACAGAGAGAAAGTGGTAGAAAATTAAAGCTGTTGAAAAAGAAACTACATCAATATCAACTGATAGATACGTGGAGAATGAAACATCCAAGAGAAAGGGATTATACCTTTTTCTCTTCAGCACACAGATCATATTTACGATTGGACTACATAATGATCAAATACAGGTAATTGGGAAGCAGAATAGAATAACTATGTGGAGATTAAATGAGATGCTTATACAAGACCCGGATCTAGAGAAAAGGTTATGGAAAGAAATATAGCAATTTTTTATACTGAATGAGACCAAGGAGGTATCTGTTACTACAATATGGGAGGCACACAAGGCATATATCTGGGGAATTTTGATCTCGACGGGGGCGGAAAAAAAGAAAGACTGGGAGAAAAAAAATAAGGTTGGTGACAGAGGAGTTGTATAACCTAGAACAGTTACACAAAAAGAAATTGGATTCAAATATATATCAAAAGACAACCCTTAAAAAGAGAAGAACTAAAAGATCTTATGGAATTGGAAATAAGGAGGATTTTTAATAGGGTCTCAAAAGAATGGTATCAGTGGGGGAATCGACCAGGGAAATATCTAATGAAAAGACTAAAGGAAAGGAAATAAAAGAATTATATAGAAAAAAGTAGAGATGAAAAAGGAGGATTGGTATATTCCACCACTGACATCGCTAATACATTTCAAAAATACTATAGTAGGTTGTATGATGTAAAGATTTGGGACCAGAAAGAAACAAAGAAGGAAAGGAAGGGAAAAAGGCAGAAATATTTAAAAGAGGCTGGCCTACCAAGAATCCCAGAAGAAAAGTTAGAGGCCCTAGATAGAGTCATCTCTCAGTAGGAAATGATTATGGCATTGAAGAGTATGACAGCAGGAAAGAGCCCAGGCCCTGATGGATATACAGTGGGCTATTATAAGAAATGTAAAGATATACTGGTTCTTAGAACAGGCTCATATATGACTGCATTAGGAGAAGGTTTGGTAATGAGAGAAGAATTATTCAAAGCATATGTAACAATTATACTCAAAGAAGGGAAAGATGTCCCACAATGCGTCAGCTATAGACCTATATCTTTATTAAATATTAACACTAAGTTATATGCAAAAGTATTAGCAACTAGGATGAAAGAACTGATGCCAAAATGGATACATCTGGATCAGGTGGGGTTCATCCCAGATAGAGAAAGGGGGGACGATGGCCTGAGATCACTACTTCTTTTACAAAAAGCAAAGAGAGAGAAGCTGCAGAAAATAATTTTGTCAATTGATGCTGAAAAAGCTTTTAATAAGGTAGATTGGGGATTCATGATGGATACATTAGAGGTTCTGGGATTAGGGCCCAAAATGTTAAAATGGATAAAAGGGCTTTATAGTGGCTCATCAGCTGCTGTAACGGGTCCCTCTCACAGTTTTTTTAAATGAATAATGGTACAAGACAAGGATGTCCACTTTCTCGCCTGTTATTTGTAATATCTCTGGAACCCTTACTAGCGATGGTCAGAAAGAGTGTAGATGTAACAGGAATTAAGATAGGTGAAGTGGAACATAGGGTAGCAGCCTATGCAGATCACCTGTTGTTCTATATGGTGAACCCCAGATTATCACTACCAATTTAATGAGACTACTAAAACAATATGGAGAGTTATCAAATCTGAAGATAAATCCCTCAAAGTCAGAGATCTTGAATATTAGTCTCTCAAAGACAGACGAACAGGGAAAGACAATATCTCGGGAAGTAGATAAAAGATAGAAATGCACTTTTGAAGGATATAGTAGATAAGGGGAGACTGAACACTTTTCAAGATTTAAAGAAAAAAAAAGATTGTATTTTGTACATTAGATGAATGGCGGTACTACCAGCTAGGACATTTTGCTGCAGCACTCCCACAACCACTGAGGATGCTGGAGCATATGTATCCATTAGAAAAAATGTTGAGTTCAAACATAATACAGAAACATGTTACTTCCAGGATATATAAGGTCCTTATTGATCTGGAGGGTTCTGATCCTCCTCCATAATTAAAGAATTAGGAAAAGGAGCTGGGAACAAATGAGCAACAAAAAAATACGATATTTAAATTAACACACAAGGTGGTGAATATGAACACAGTTGAAATTAATTATAAGTGCTTAGCAAGATGGCATATCACACCGAGTGTGGCACATAAACAACGCTTAGATGTCTCACCTTTATTTTGAAGAGGGTGTGGGAATAAGGGAGCAATGGCACATATATGGTAGGATTGCCCTAAAATTCAGAAGGTTTTGGCAGGAAATAATTCAATATATACAGGAGATATCGGGGACAATTTTACAGAGGGACCCGTGGATTTGTATACACCAAGATGTCTGTGGAACAATACAAAAATAGCGTATTATATCATCTAATTAGTGCGGCCAAAAGTCTTATCCCTACATATTGGTTAGCCCAAGAACCCCCCAAAATAAAGGAGTGGATAAAGAAAGTCAAATACATATATAAGATAGAGGATTTATATCATATGGAAGAGGGTAAAATGGAAAAACTGAGAGAATTGTGCAGTAGATGGTATGATTTTAAATTATCTAAAAGATATTGGGAAGTGGTAGGAGCTTAAGGTAGTAAGAGTTGGGAGAGTTTGAAAGGGCAACTGATTAGATATGGGTCTCTAGATCAGCGGTTCTCAACCTGTGGGTCGCGACCCCTTTGGGGGTCGAACAACCCTTTCACAGGGGTCGCCTAAGACCATCGGAAAACACATATTTCCGATGGTCTTAGGAACCAAGACACCACTCCTCTATCCGTCTCCAGGTGTGGGCGGGATGACATGCCGCCCCTGTCATCTGGACACTCCCCCGGGATCAATCCTCGCTGGTGATTGGCCGCCAGAACTGTAGCTCAGGAGAGGCAAACAGGCGGCCAATCACCGGCGAGGAGGTGGAGCTTGGAGAGGAGAAGCTGAGCGGCACCGCGAAGATCGAGCGAGTGAAGAGGAGGAGAGCGGCCGGAGAATGAAGACAGCTGACCGGTAAGTGTCTGTACCATGGGAGAGGGAGGGAGTGAGCCCAGGCTGGAGCAGGGGTCAGCAAGGTAAGTATCATTGGTGTCAGTGGGAGGAATAGTGCCCAATCATTGGTGTCACTAATACCAATGATGGGGCACTATTCCTCCCCCCACTGAAATCAACAATGGGGCACTATTCCTCCCCCCACTGACACCAACGATGGGGCACTATTCCTCCCCCACTGACACCAACGATGGGGCACTATTCCTCCCCCACTGACACCAACAATGGGGTACTATTCCTCCCACTGACACCAACGATGGGGCACTATTCCTCCCACTGATACCAATGATGGGGCACAATTCCTCCCACTGACACCAATGATGGGGCACTATTCTTCCCACTGACACCTATGATGGGGCACTATTCCTCCCACTGGCACCAATGATGGGGCACTATTCCTCCCACTGGCACCAATGATGGGGCACTATTCCCCCCACTGACACCTATGATGGGGCACTATTCCTCCCACTGACACCAATGATGGGGCACTATTCCCCCCACTGACACCTATGATGGGGCACTATTCCTCCCACTGACACCTATGATGGGGCACTATTCCTCCCACTGACACCAATGATGGGGCACTATTCCCCCCACTGACACCAATGATGGGGCACTATTCCTCCCACTGACACCATTGATGGGGCACTATTCCTCCCACTGACACCAATGATGGGGCACTATTCCTATTCCTACCACTGACACCAATGATGGGGCACCATTCCTACCACTGATACCAATGATGGGGCACTATTCCTCCCATTGACATCAGTGATGGGACACCATTCCTCCCACTGACACCAATGATGTGGCACTATTCCTCCCACTGACACCAATGATGTGGCACTAGTCCTCCCACTGCAAAATTACAGTTATGAAGTAGCAACAAAAATAATTTTATGGTTGGGGGTCACCACAACATAAGGAACTGTATTAAAGGGTCGCGGCATTAGGAAGGTTGAGAACCACTGCTCTAGATGAAGGAAAGGGATATAGACATAGATAGAAAAATATCGGAAAACATGGAAAGAATATGGAATGTGGACCGGGGGCATGGGTGGGGTGGTAACAAGGGTGGGTGGTGTAGGGAATAGGTATAAAGTATGTAGTATTTATGAATTGTTGGACACAATGTGGATTTTTGTAATGGAAAAAATTTACTAAAAGATAAAATGAAAAAAAAAAAGGGTCAATTGGGGTATTTGTACTGTCCTGAAGTTTTAGTGTCTCAAGAAAAGAGATATGCAGTCAGTACTTCATACTTCAGCATTGATCAATTTTAAGATATATATCATAGTTTGTGGACTTTATAACTTTCCTACGGACTAAATAATATAAACTGATTCTGATTATTTTCACCAAAGAAATGTAGAAGAATACATTTTGGCCTAAATTTATGAAGAGCAATTATTTATTTGCAAAACGTTAAACAGAAACGAAGAAAGACATGTTTTTATTTCAACATTTTCAGTCTTTTTTTGTTTATTTAGCAATTAAATACCACCATAAGAAAGCTCTATTTTATGTTAAATAAAAAAAGAAAAAAATTTCAGTGTTGCATGACCGAGCAATTATCATGTAAAGTGCAACAGTACTGAAAGCTGAAAATTGGCCTGGACAGGAAGGGGATGAAAGTGCCTCATATTGAAGTGGTTAAACTTAAATCCCTAATATGAGTTCCTTACTTTGTTTCTATTTAGTTCTGTTCACCAGGGGGCAGGAAACTCCAAGTCACTGCAAAGACCCTCCTGTGTACTTATGAGGTATTGGTAAAAAAACTGAATACCTGGGGAAACAGCAGTTATTTTCTGGCCTTTAGTTAACCTCTTGACGTCCGCCTGCTGTTGATAAACGGCAGGACGGTGGCACTCCAGGGGCGGGTTGCCGTTCATAAACGGCACCCGCCTCTTCTAGCTGTTCGCGCTCCCTGGGAGCGCGCAGCACACCGCGATCCGGTGCCCGCTGTGTCCTCTGGACACAGTGAAACACCGATCGTCGGACGGGACCTCTGTACGAGGTCCCGGTCATGTGATCACTGATTGGCCAATCAGTGATCACATGCAAAGTAGTAAGCAAGATGTCACTTCTGACATCATTGCTTACTACGTGTGAAATCTGTGAATGATCATAGAAGTCACATGGTACAAGGCTATTCACAACAGCCTTGTACCATGTGACAAGCTGTGACCAATCACAGCTCACTCAGTACTTCTCAATGACTGCAAGAATGCAGACAGAGAGAAAGAGAAATGATTGCTTTTACATCCTATATGGGTGTAAAAGCAATCAGTGAAAAAAAAAATAATAATCTTCAACACCCCCCACAAGTAGTACAGTGTCACCATGGTGACACTGTACTGCTAGGGTGACAGTATGTAAAAAAAAATAAAAGTAAAAAATAATAATATAAAAAAACATAAAATAAAAATGTAAAAAAAAATGTTTAAAAATTATAATTTTCGGTTATAAACTCATTTGGATTTTTTTTTTTTTACTAAAAAAAAACAGAATAAATTTTGGCCAAGATTTATGATGAAATATTATTTATTTGCAAAATTTTATTTAAAAAAACACTTTTTTTCAAAATTTTTGGAATTTTTCATTTACATAGTAAAAAAAATAAAAATCCCAGCGGTGAATAAATACCACCAAAATAAAGCTTTATCTGTCTCAAAAAAATGGTAAAAAATTTATATGGGTACAGTATTGCATGACCGCGCAATTGTCATTCAAAGTGTGATAGCAATGAAAACTGAAAATTGCCCTGGACAGGAAGGGGGTAAAAGTGTCCAGACAGGAAGTGGTTAACCCCTAGGTAATAAATAACTAAAAACAGGAAAATGTAAGCTCTAATGGGAGTTTTTTTTTCTAGCAAAATAAAAAAGATACATTTTTCATGCCTTTGACTGTGGATTGTTACTTTAAAGGTACCTACATCCAGCCAATGTGCAGTCAATTATTATTATCTGTTATACTATGTCACTGTTATGATATTTTGGAGATCTCATACCCTTTTACTTAGAACTCTATATAGGGTCAGCTTGGAGTCTACTGTGCTCTTCTCTTGGTGTTCCGTGAAGTCACCTTGGGAGTTCATATAACAGCATACAGGTCCAAAATGTGAGAGTCTAAATTACATGTGAAAAATGAAAGTATATATATATATATATATATATATATATATATATATATATATATTAGTATGATTATCTATATTTATGTTTGGGATAGTGAGCACAGGAATCTCTATATACTCTGTATACTGTGTAGAGATCTCACTCATTATTTCCTCTTCTGGTTGAATGTTTTAGTATATAGGCTATTTTCTCTATTGGTTGAATGATCTTTAACTCTTCTGGTTGTTAGCTTTTTTTCTGTTTGGATTGAATGTTTGGGAATGTCACATTCTCTCTTCAAAAGCCAACAAATAGAAACTGACATTTCACACATAGAGTATTGTAAACACTGTGGGTATAAGTTGTGACTTTTGCTTGAATTCACATAGCATTTTTTTAATAAATAGACCCCTTTGTAACAGTTTTACATTCTGGACCACATTGATAGTTCTCCATATTTGAAGAGCCATGATGTTTTACAGTGATATTACCAAAACCCTTTTTTAAAACCCTTTTTTATCTATCTTTCTCATAGCTGTTCTTCCTGTCTGGTCTAAGGAAGGTAATCACACACATTTGAAAAGGCATGATCCTTAGTCATACTTTTGTCACATTGATAATGATACTTGCCGATGGCTGTAAAAATATTTTTGTTCTCTTTCATCTGTGTGGCATCTTGTCTATATCCCAGTGATCATGCTGATGCAAAAAAAATGTCGCTAGCAAAACACATTTTTACTGTCAGCTCATTACATGACTAAAAACAATATTCACAAAAAATACTATGTTAGAAATCAGTTCGTTCGTAATGTCCTGGATATTTATTTCAAGTAAAAAGAAAAACGGGGCAAGGATAACACCTCATAGGGATGCAAGATGGAACTTTTTTGCCTTTGTTGTTTAGGAAAAAAGTCTCATAGTGACAATTAAATAGCTCAAGTGTGGATTCACCAGTATGGTCCTGACTTCTAATTGTTAGTATCCTCAAAAAAGAAAATACTTTATCACTGTAAATTCTAAGCAGGCACTCTATCAGTCTGTGAACAGGATAAATGGGACATTTCAAGTTTACTAGAGGAAGTTTCAAAAATCCATACCAAATCCTTATCTGAGCATGTAGCCTGAGAGGTCAGAAGAGAAGAGGAACAGCATGTGACCCCCCCCCTCCTGAACCATCCCAGGAAAAACACCTTATTCCCAAGTTGATGGGGATAAGAGCTTCTTTCTCAAATCTTGGAGAACAAAGGGGAAGTTATCCACCTCCCACATCTCCATCCAAGGAAGAAAGATCAGCACCGCCCCGGGGGAATCCATCCATGCCAGCCAATTGAAAATAGGAGTGAAACCCCTGCGCTACCTCAATAATAAGAGAGAAGAAAAAAAAAAACACACAATAAAATGCATACAAGCAGAAAATAGTGTGTTGATAGTGGCTGATGCTAACATCAAATTGTGTTCCCACAATAGTAAAGCAAATTAAAAATAAATAAGTGATGTAGTGCTGCTAAATAATAGCTACAAAAAATAAAAGAGTGACATAACTGAACAAAACATCCATAAAGAGTCCATATATGTAAAATCAATCAATTTGTAATAAAGATTCTTCCATAATTCATGTGTTTTCTTCTTGTGCTAATATCCCAAACACCATCAAGTAAAATAGTGCAGTGCACATAACATATATTTCCCCCTCAGTGCTCACAGAACTCTCACCACAGAGCACATGGAAATGCGCTTGTGATATCAAATTGGCAAAAGTGATTCTTCACTTTTTCAATCCACAGCCATGTGATAGTAATCAAACACCTTTGAGCTTTCAATAGATTGTCAAACCAGAGCCAGGGTTCAGTCCCTTTAAGGGTGATGGAGGTCACACTTTCCTATCCTTGAAAAGGAACAAAGGACACTCTCATGATGCAGTATGTACGAATAAAAAATTTATTAAGAAGCAGTAATACACTCACATGTAGTAAAGGAATAAAATGCCATAAAATCATCAGATGCTGGCTTCACTTGTTGTCAGCTGAGCTCACTATTCATGTCTGCCCAGAGCCAAGCCCCTTACGCATTACATCATGCCCACGTGTCTTCATCAGAGGGATCAAGCCATATGGCATGGTGAGGGAAATGCTTCCAATCTCAAGGAGAACCAGACCTCAAGAGGGTACAAAAATATGATGTGTTCATCCTGCAAAATTCTGCAGTATTCCTCAGAAAGTTTATAATGTATCCAGCAAGCCCAAGTCTTATAATACCATGAGTATCTATCATGTGCAGTAGCGATCAACTCCTCCATCTCCTCCGTCTTGTCAATCCTCATGAACCACTCTCTCAGAGAAGGCACTGAGATCTGTTTCCAATAGCGTGGAATGCACATCCTTGCCGCTACTATCAAGTGCATAGCAAGCGACCCATGATATTTCCGACCCAACGAAGGCGAACAGTGGAGCAAGTATTGAAGAGGAGCAAAGTTCGATTGATAGGAGGTGACCCAAACAATTATGTCATGCACTCTCTGCCAGTATATAAGCAGTACAGGACATTTTCACCAAATGTGGAGCATCGAGCCCAATCCTTGCTGACATCTCCAACAGAGATCTGGTATAGTCAGATATATATTGTGCAAGAGATGAGGAGTTCTGTACCAATGCGTAAGGATGTTAAAATTATGCTCCTGAACTGATACAGTTGTGTTCAAAATAATAGCAGTCAGACATCACTAACCTGATCAATCACTGTTTTTGGTAGAAATGATATTTCTACATGACAAATACTTTACTAGCAGGTGTAGTAGAGTAATAGAAATCCAACAGACCCAACAGTCATGACATGCATGCTGCTGATTCTGTGTCATTGAATCACTAACTGAAAGGGGCATGTTCAAAATAATAGGAGTGTGGAGTTCTATTAATGAGGTCATTCATTCTTTGAAAAAAAGGTGGCAAGTATTGCCCTTATTTAAGGAAGGAAGGCAGCAAATGTTGTACATGCTGGTTACAGTGCATTTCTCTCTGAAATTCTGAGGAAAATGGGTCGTTCCAGACATTGTTCAGAAGAACAGCATACCTTGATTAAAAAGTTGATTGGAGAGGGGAAAACATATAAAGAAGTGCAGAAAATGATAGGCTGCTCAGCTAAAATGATTGCAAATACTTTCAAATGGCAACCAAAACCTGAAAGACGTGGAAGAAAGCAAAAAACTACCATTCGAATGGATAGAAGAATAGCCAAAATGGCAAGGACTCAGCCAACAATCAGCTCCAGGAAGATCAAAGAAGGTCTAAAGTTACCTGTGAGTACTGTTACAATTAGAAGACGCCTATGTGAAGCCAAGCTATCTGCAAGAAGCCCCCACAAAGTCCCACTGTTGAAAAAAAAGACGTGCTGAAGAGGTTACAATTTGCCAAAGAGCACATTGACTGGCCTAAAGAGAAATGGCACAACATTTTGTGGACTGATGAAAGTAAGATTGTTCTTTTTGGGTCTAGTGGCCGGAGACAGTTTGTCAGACGACCCCCAAACACTGAATTCAAGCCACAGTACACCGTGAAGACAGTGAAGCATGGTTGCGCAAGCGTCATGATATGGGGATGTTTCTCATACTATGGTGTTGGGCCTATTTATCGCATACCAGGGATCATGGATCAGTTTGAATACATCAAAATACTTGAAGAGGTCATGCGGCCTTATGCTGAAGAGGAAATGCCCTTGAAATGGGTGTTCCAACAAGACAACGACCCCAAACACACCAGTAAATGTGCAACATCTTGGTTCCAGACCAAGAAGATTGACATTATGGAGTGGCCAGCCCAATCCCCAGATCTTAATCCAATAGAAAACTTGTAGGGTGACATCAAAAATGCAGTTTCTGAGGCAAAACCAAGAAATAGAGAAGAACTGTGGAATGTAGTCCAATCATCCTGAGCTGGAATACCTGTTCACAGGTGCCAGAAGTTGGTTGACTCCATGCAACACAGATGTACAGCAGTTCTCAGAAACAGTGCTTATACAACTAAATATTAATTAAGTGATTCAAAGGAAAGCAAAATCTTTAAACATTTTTCAGTTTATATGGTGAATGTTTGA